CAGGTTACACATTAATTGTTCATTAGAGTTTCGACAGAGTTTCGACAGTCATTAAGAGGTTTCGCCCACAACCTTAACCAGAACACATGATAAATATTGCACAGAATATTAAATAATATGGTGCAAAAAATCTCAACCATTATTTTGACATATTTTTTATTATTGTTTTCTTTACAAGTTTTTGTCTTTGCTACTTAGCAACCCTGGATTTCAGAAAACATGGCGCAGTATGCACTTCTATCAGGGATCATGAACTAAACCCTTTTATTTATATTCTGTAGTACATTAAAAAGTACATATTCTGTAATTTCTAATGAATAAAAAAAATTACCTTTACATCTTCAGTAGTTAATTCCACAATTCTTTCATTATAATTGTTAAAGCTTTGAAAGATTACATAATTGAAACAAAACAAAAAAATGAGTGGTTCTAGTAACAAATTATTAAACTTGGTGAAAACAGCAATGAATTAAAAATGATGATAGATAAAACTGAACATATACTGCAACATTTTAGCGATTGTCAAAATTTTGTTGTGTATATCCAAGAAGAAGAAATTAAAATACTAACCCTTATCAATAATATAATAACAATACAATAAAAAGATTTTAATTGATTAACTTTATTACATGAATTAATTAATTTCTTTAATATTAGGATGTAATTCTACTTCATATCAATCATCTAATTATCTAAATGAACTTATAAACATTGAAGATGATGAACTTTATAACTTAGACGTCCAAGTATTGATCATCCAGCAACAAATTCTGATGGAAAATAGATACTAGAAATTATATTAAAAAACGATATATGTTACATTATCCTTTTGATTTTCAATTTATTATGAATCTTTTTTTTTTTTAACCAATAAAAACTGCCATAATCACATGATATGTTCGTACAAATCCCAACCTGAATAATAAATATGTTGTTATAATTAATTTTTCCTTGATGGTTAAAATAGTTTATTAGCATGCAATTGTAAACGTTCAAATAATTATCACTTAATTATTTAAACAATGTTAATGAACAGATAATTTAATTGTTGTTAAAT